CTTCACTAGTTGCTGTGCATAAAGCAACATATTCAGCTTCTGTTGATGACAGAGCCACCGTTGTTTGTTTCTTGGTCGCCCATGAAACGCAATTTCCAAGAGAGAAAAAAACACATCCGGAAGTGGAGCGCCGGTCTATTTTATCATTACCCCAATCGGAGTCTGCATAACCTGTTAAGGGTGTAGCATCATTTTGTTTGTAAATTAATTCATAATTTTCCGTATTAATGCATCATAACGCAGGAAAAAATCATCCAATTTTTCATTGCCCAAAAATTTGAGGTTAAGAATTTTCTTCCTACAATAAGTCTGAGACAGAATACCCTTCTTTTCGAACTTATTCTTCAAAGCCTCAAACATTTGAAATGCTGTTTCCTTGTCTCGCACATATTCCAAACTTTCCAAAATTATTTTCTAGGATTTTCTTATGGATCTGAGCATTTCTAAAATTCATTATTGCTAGTAGAACATCTACTAAGTTTGCCTTAGTAACCTAACCTAACCTAACCTAACCTAAGACCTTTGTCTTTACTTTTTTCTACTAAGTACGCAATAGGTTTTTCCTCCTTCATTTCTAGAATTTCTGTGAATTTCTGTCTTCTTGTCAGTCCTTTCGAATTTTTTCCAAACTCTTTTTCAAATTCTTCCACTATGGTTGCCGCCAATACGATGGACAGTTCGTCATGTAATTTCCGCTTCTCCAGTTGGAGCTCTCTTATGTCTCCTGTCATCTTCTCGATAACGTTGGCCTGTGCAGCATAGGTTCGGCCCTTTTCAGCCATTAGTGCAGTGATTAATCGTATTCTTGTGGCATCGTCTTTAACACTCTCAAACACTTGATGAATTAATTTGGAATTATCAGTCACCTGGCCGACTGTCGAAAAAGACTTAAGGGGACGTGAACCTGGGAGAGAATCTCCCACAGCCTCTCCTCCATCCGTTTGTAGTATTGTTTGTGTCTTTCCAGTATCAAGTGTAACAGAAATTGTGCCAATGTGAGATGCAGACAAAGTTTGATCATCCTTCGCAATTGCAATTGAGATGGGAGGATCCAGTTTTTCCAAAGTTGTAAACCACCTTTCATCATTGCACAAATGTTCTGTAGCCCCAGAATCGAGAATCCACGTCATGCCCATTTCTTCCTCATTGTTGAACGCACCAACAGATGAAGTGAACGCTACATCTTGACTGGAGTCGCTGGCTTGATCTTCTATATCAGATGAATGTTCTATCAACGTTGATCCATCTTGATAAAGATGTACGTGGTGTTCATGTTTTGATGACGTTGATGAGTTTTTCCTTAGGTAGCAATCCGCCCATTTGTGACCTTTTTTCTTGCAAAAACCACATTTGTACACGTTTCCTTTACTTTGAAAAGCCGCCTCTCTCGAACAGGAAGGTCCATTTGTCTCTGACATTTTTAGTTCGAAATTAAGGTGTTTTTCTTTGACAACAGATAAATTTAATTTTTCCTCGTCAACTGTTTCCAATGCAGTCAAAATTGAATCATAACTTTCAGGTAAAGACAATAAGAGGTAACTGACGACTTCGTTCTCTGTGACGCTGGCTCCGGAATCTTTTAATTCCCGTATTAACCCTTTGCACTCTTCGAAATTTTTGCCTAACCTCCCCAGTTACTGTACGTACTTTTTGCCATTTTCAAGGCTTATTTTGCCTACTCCTATCCTAAGCTGGTTCTCTCCAGCTTTGAGCTTTTTAATTGGGTTTTTTTTTGTCGGAGGTTTTTTATATCAAAATGAAAGATTATTTATGGCAAAAAAATTTTATTTTTACAAGAATTTAGCGGTATTTGTTCATTGTGTGGTACATTTCGAAGCAACCTGCCGGGCAAAGCCCAGGTTTTTTACTGCAAGTTTTACAATAATATTTGGACTCTTTTCTCTGTCCCTTTACTTTCCTATTAGAGCACACTGCACAGTCTCTTGTCTTCGGGTGAGGGAGAGCTTCGAGGAAATGCGGCTTTTTATTTAGGCGTTCGATGTCATCTGAAGGGTTTTTACGTTTACGGGTTGCTGTGTGGCGGACATCACCAATTAGTTCTTGGTTGATGTGAGAACACTGTGGGCGGACCAGCTGGCTCCTGTGTATTCAACTTTTCTTACAACATTAGATAATAGTTAAGAAAACATTGGTTACAAAACATATAATGTAAACAAAGGCGAAATGGTTAGACATAAAATAAAATTTGAGGGGCTGTGGTGCATACCATAAATTTAAGTAGGGGGA